CATCAGCCCTATTACAGCCAAATTCCTAGGTGATCTGACTGTGCACATCTGGTGAGCTCTCGAAGGGGTGCTGCAACCCAACGGTTTTGACACTGTTCTTAAAAATTCTCTCTTTTGACAATTCAGGGTATCCATCCCCACAGACTTAGGCGAATCATTAGAGCAGCATCCTAGCCCAGTATGCTGTCCATAATGAGGAGTGCATGAACTACAAGTGCATAACCCACTGTTCTGGACATCTCTGTGGTTGCACCAAAGGCTGTGTTGCAGTCACTGTCAGAGGTGGCAGAATTAACAGCAGAACTAACAGCAGAATCAGCAGAAGTCATCACAGATTCTGGGACAATCACACTGTGGGATGTACAGCTGGTATCTGGCTCGCAGTCCTTAGCTGGAATAACAGATCCTGCATGCCTTGTTTCAGTACAAACAAACCAACTGAATTATATTTCGCGTGGAAAACTGGCGTTAAGTTCCGCAGAAAAAGCATGAGTTTTCATTGGCAGGACTCAGCACTAAGCAAGGAGGACGTCAAGCGCAGGCAGGGTGAGGGCGAGCGATGCAGCTTCCAGGGTGCTGCCGAATGACCATGTCGCACCACGCAACATCATCATCATGAGCACTGCAATCTCCAAAACCTTAAATTGCAACCAAATTTGAATAAGGAGGTTCAAGGAATGTTCAGAAAAGTTCATCTATAACCAGTGTTCTTTTCCTCTGATAGATATCCCCTGAGGCATATAATGGAGACCTTTAAAAAGTTGTTTGAATGAAACATATAACTTAAGTATAGGTGTTGTTTCCAAGCGCTGTAAAATGAACTGTTTCACTTGTGTTTGTAATAAACCACAGGTGATGTGAAACATGGAGCTTATTTAGCAGCATGTACCAGATGGTCTATGCAAAATTGAATATGGCAGGAAGATTCTTGTACAGATTGCAGGTGGGACTTGTTTTTGGTTTTGTTTGAAAAAGTAGAAAGAAATAGGGGAAACTGGTTACATCTCTGTTCGTGTTGCTGGAATGGTGTCGGAGGCTGCTGCTATAGGTCAGCAACAGGATGAACCCAAGTGTGATCGATCATGATTTGGCAAGCAAAGTGTCTACTGTTATATAATTTTGAATGGCACTGAAATATAGGCTCTCTAAACTTGGATATCCAGATAGATTTCATTTCTAAAGAGGTTTAAGTTAGTGAAATTGAAAATTAGTCTGGATACTATCACTGAAGTCCTTTCACGATTTTAAAATCTTAAAAAAGAATTTAAACATAATCCTCTTTTTTTTTGGTTGGTTGGTTAGGCAGAAGTGCTCAAAACACCTTGTTTTTACCTTGGCACTCTTGTGCAAATGGTGGAGTAGTTCGGACCTAGTCAGTTCGTGTGTTTTGATGATACTTCTATTCTAAAGCAGTGTAATTATATACAAGGTGATTTAATTAGGTATATGCATTTAAAATGGGTGCTGGGAGAGTTCATTCAATAAAAAGAATGTGAAAAAGGGGTTTAAGTGAGAAAGTTTTAACACTTGAGACATTGTGGAGATACGGCACAAAAGAAATATCTGCTGTGATTGCCAGAGCTCAGAAAACACATACAAATTAACTCTTCAATTTGATGAGCTAGAAATAGAGGGAAAATAATGTGCATATGAAAAAGATTAAAGAAGAAGCTAAGAAGGGATGCTTAGTGGGTTTAACTGCATGGATTTAAAAATTGTTTAAAGAATGATGAGATGATAATGGTAAAAAGAGATTCAGGCAACCTTTACCAGGAAGCAGATCTCCTGATTTTTGGTGAAACTTCAGTTGTACTATCTCAGTAAAAGAAAGGTCCAAAAGAAAATAACAGAGAATGATCTGACTGTGAAGGGTCTGAAAACAGTGTGCACACATAGATGTACGTGCAAAGTCTTTTGGCCTCTGTGGAGGAAGATGCGAAGAGCAACAAGTACAAAACTAACAAGGTGCTTGTTACTGCTGAGGTGCAGAACTTGGCTGCAGAGGAAAGAGGACCAGATATACCTCCTTAATACTGGAGGTACAGTGGAAACTGGCAGATGAAATAGTGTGTGTTGTATAAACCTGGTGAAGTTACACATGGAGATCTTCATACTGTTGTATGGCTGGCAGAAGCTGAAGAGGAAACAGAATGGGGTAGATGCATGTCCCTTTTTCTTTTTTTCTACGAGTTGCAAAGAGTTAAAAACTGCTCTCATTTAGCGTTGCTTGGGTCACCTCCAGAAGGAGCTGGGACAGGGGCTGCTGAGGACACAGTCCCGAGCAGCCGGCGGGCTGGGTCTCTGGCCATGGGACCTGCCGCTTTCTGAGATGGCTGGTGATGGCCCAGGTGCAGGGAGATGCTCGGGGCTCATCGAAGCTGGGCAAGGTGCTGGTGACAGCAAGGGCTTTCCCTAACGCATGGGTTTAGGTAGTAGTTTTCCAAGAAGAGGAGTCACATAATATAGTTACTCTCCTCAAGTCTGACAGATCGTTGGCTTTTCACTGTGGGAAACATCAGTGCTTTCCCTCAGCACAAGGGACAAGTTACGGTAGCAACTTGCCACGCTTTCAGCTCCCCAGCACTACCTCACAGCCTCCATAACCCTTTGCTGGGCCTTGCCCTCACTACACCCCGGCC